ACATATCTTCGTTCTCTTCTTTGAGCGTTAAATTAAGCATGTAGTTTAATATTTAGGTTGTTTACGTTTATCAAAGAGTTATATCTGAATTTATTGAGGACTTTAATGAAATAGTATTTTCTTGCAAGTTTGGAAATTTCTTCATTTATTTTAAAGCTGACTTTTCTTCTTCTTAGCTCACTGGCTAGCAGTTTTGCCTTGGGTCATAAATGCCTCTTTGATTCCCTCCGTTTAAGTTCTTTGAAGACTTGAGCATATGCCTAATTTTATGACTCGTGTCAGGTTGCACACACCAATAAGCTGTGGTATGATCAGGGTCTTAAAACACTTATATAAAAGAGGAAGACACATGCCAAAATATTAGTTTTTAGTCTAACAAATGTATTGTCATGCTGGTAGAACAGAAAAGGTTTGAAGATTAGAATTTTACTTGTGGTAGACTCCCAGCCTGTCCTATGATTTTTTTAGCGTGGTGCAGGATGTTATGGCCTTGTCCATGTCATGAGTCAGTGGTTGTATGTGAGGTCCTTTAAAGTCTCTTCCTATGTTTCACAGTGTCTCTGCTAGATCCAGAGTCATTAGCCAAGGACTTGACTGGACTGAATTCCTTGCTGTATGAAAGTCCCATGTGATCTAAAGGCTCTGAATTTTGGACTGTGATTCATTCATCTCTCTCAGTGAAGGGACTGGCTGTCTACAGAGGTGTGGCAGGTGGGAGCAGCAATTACTTTGGCTCCACTGATTTTTGCACAGTTGTATATGTAGTAATGTTTTAGGTGAATCATTCAGTCTTGTATTTAGACCTAAATTTATCTAGGTCTTTGTTTCTTATTGGTTGGTTTTTACTTTGGGTTCAGCTTCTCTGTAATTTTGACTCCCATCTGTAACATAAAGATACCAATTTACTTCTTATGGGACTGTTGGAAGATAATCGTTAACGGGTGCGAGGCATTCAGATATTGTGAGGGTGGCGATTTAATCAGCTAGAAAGATTCCCTAGATGGAAGTGGGGCTTTTGGGATCCCTTTACATTCTGTGAGAAGTCCTGGGCTGGACTCACCTTTGTGATATTTAAAAAACAAAACAAAAAAACCCCAAAGTGTACAGCTGTTTCTCCTAGACTCTTACCTAAATTTATCCATGTTTTTAAATCTCAGCCCTGGACTACTATGCAGTTTATAAGTTTAATTAAGAAAACTGAATAGAGTAATGTATTGAAACTCTAATGGCCACATTTATCTTTAAACTAATGGTATTCACTTTCTCCTGTCTCTGGCAACGTTGCATGTTCTTGCTGCTGGCTTTCAAGGCCTCGTGTGTTTGGCTGCTGCAAATCTGTGCATTGCTGTTCTTCTGGAGTACTCATGGAAAGGTAACTGGCTTTACTTCCTTTTTCAGGAGAATGGTACTTCTACCAGTTTGGATTTTTCTCTTTTCCCTTCTGTGTTTACTCCCTACATCTGTCTGTTAGAGGTATATTAATCACAGAGGCATTAATTGTTCTAGTCTAAATCTAGGACACTGAATATTATGATCCCTGCTGTACAAATTGCCATTTGACACTTCAGATGTTCATCTAAATAATTCTAGATATTTCTTGCTGACACTCAGTCACAATTATTTCCTCTAAGCAGTTTCCTTGCAGTTTCTGATGTAATGTATTGCACCTTGGCTAGTAAAGGTTTTTATTGTTAAGCTTAACCACAAGATAGTCAGTGACTGTAATTGCTTTTTGTAGACCATTATTATAATATCCAGTTTAGCAAAAGACATTAGTTTAAGCAGTTTACTGACCATATTAATCTTCCCTCCCAAAGAACTACGTTTGATTATTAATGTTGATGAGTGTGAGGAAATAAAAAAATGGCTCAGAGCAAGTTTATTCTTAAAGTTGGGGAGAAAGCTTTTTGTAAAATATATAATTAGCATTTGATAGAGACATTATGAAATCTTCCTGATTATTTCTTTTATCTTTATATTATTTTATTATAAAATGTTTTCATTTATATTTAGGTGGTTACTTCCAAATGATTCTTCCAGAAACATTCAGATGCCTACCAGTAAAATATTAGCTGTACATTCATGTTAACAAACATTGAAACATTGAACATCTTCAGGTAAAAATGGCTTCTTCCTTAAAACATGTTTACTAAGCTTCTGAATCTATGTGACCAAATAATTGTTTTCAGCTCCATTAGAATAAAGGGTTTGCTTCAGATGTAAAACCACAGAATTACAAATAGCAACGGATGATTTAAAGTGACATCAGTCAACTTGATTTTTGTAACTGACTAAAAATGTTGACGTTAACTGTTAAAAATGTTAAAGTTCTTAACAAAGTACGCTCTAAGTAAGTCAAGACTTCTTCAAAAAAATCTTTGAAGATATATACTCAATTTTTAAGTCTCCTGATGTTATACAGAAACTAGTAATTCCTCACTCAAACAGTAAGAACTGAAATGATAACACAAGGCGGGAACTGTGTAATTACTGATAAAAATACATACAGATGTTTTTGTAAGTACTTTCACATTTTCTGTTTCATACAAGTTGATGGTACATCTTTAAATGAACAAGGCCATGTGTTGTATTTTAATGATATAACCTCATTTTTACCACTGTGCTTCATTCGCAAGGGTTTTTTTTTTAATAACTGGGCATAACTGATGTTGTTTTCCACTGAACTGAAGTTGAATGAGAATAATTATTAGTGCACTATTTGTTTTGGTTGTTGTACTGCATTAACTGCATGTTTTTTGAGGTGACAATTCATTACAGAACTCTGTCCTGTGCAATTATATCATTGATTTTTGTGCATTTGAACTTGTGACCAAATCTGAAATTCAAAAATTAATTAAAAGAAAAAAAAGAAGCTCAAGATGCTTTTTGATAACATTCTTTTCCTCTGTCAGAAAACATTAATTGCTGTTAGCTTTTAATTTGAGCAAGAAAACTAAAGACTCTAAAATTAAATGTGCCTGGTTTGGGTAATTTATTAGATTAAATACAGATAGCAGTTAAAGAAAGATGTGTGTAGAACATTATAGTTAATGACCTGTATTCTTCCACCAAAATGGTGTAGGTTCTGTTACCAAGTCAAAGATAACCACCTAGAATTTTACAGGTTACTTGCAGACCTTCAAATCACTGAATCATATTTACTGTTTTGAAAATCTTTTAACAAGCTGCTCTACCATCTCAAAACCCACTCCCTTAGAAATATACATCTAATGCATGCAATATGTATGCAATAGAAATATATCCAATAAAATTTTCTTTTTTTTGGAGAAAAATGGATTAACTTTTTTTTTTTTTTATGATGGCTGGATCTCCATTGGACACATGAATCAAGTATGCAGGGACCACATAACATATGTGTCATAAAAATACCAGTGCAAGTTTTCCTACAGTCTTTCAAAAATATATCTGAGTCCTGATTTTCTAAAGATTTTAGGGTGTCCTTGATCTATCCCTTAAGAATGCTGAATATTGCTGACTGTAATCTTTTCTGTATTTTGTGTGGGAAACTTGTACTAGAAGTTATTCTAATTCAGTTCACAGGTATCCTGTTAGTACTCAGATGTAAGGTGGATGAGAATGACAATAAATGAAAAAAGGATAGATTAAAGATTTTTGAAGTAACATTCTTCAAGGGAACACCATTTTTGAGCAGTCAGAGGTATAATGTTTAGGTTAGTTAATTCAGTTGCCGTCTGAAAGAAGTAGAACTGAATCTCTGAAATACAAGACAGGAGACAAACAAATGGCAATAAAGAAGCTGAAACTGCTAAGGGGAAGATCTTGTGGTAGAAGGAATATCCAGAAATCAGATAGTAGAAAAGGTATGTGATGATGAATCCGGAAGGCATTCCCAAGGAGAAATTATCTTATACAGTGTTCCAAAAAAAAGAAAAAACTGTCACCAGATGATCAGTTTGACTTTGACAGTGATGCCATTCTTCAGTTCTTACTGAATTACATAGGCAGAATTGTTTAAACATGTCAGTGCTTTTCTGTATCCCTACTTTAACAATAAGGCCTTACTTGGAGACTTAAAATATTCCAGATTTAATTGGAGAATTCTGTGTGTATAAAATGCTTGACTATGAAAAGAATGAAATAGGCTTGTAGGAATATCCATAGGTTATGAACATGTGATTGGAAAATGTATTGCATATTGCAGAAATTTACATGTAAACATTCATGCTATTTTTTTTTTTAAATCTACTTTCTCTAATTTGCACTGATTAATCAATATTTTTCAAAATACCTCTTGCAGGTGTAGGCTTAAACAGGACAGTTAGTTTCTCTACATTGTGTCCCATCTGGCTGTTGTGCTTCTCACTTCTGTTATAGAAGTTCAGAGCCCACAGGAACTCTGAGCATGGGTTTTAGAAATAAAAGCAAATTAAAAGTGAAATTTAAAAGTTGGTGGAAAATTTTAAGTTTTGTCTTCTCTCTGTGCTTACCCTCCTCTTCTTTATTCTGTTACTTACTCATTAATTTATTTACCTTTTGGCCCTGATGTCATCTTTTATATGCTGCAACATTCATGTTCCCTCTTAAATCAAAGCGCCTCTGTTCAGTAGAGCTGGGTTAACAGGCCTGTGAAATCAGAGTATAAATTCCTCAGCGTTTGAACCTTTGAAAACTAAAATACTGTGACAAAGTCCGGTGTCGCTGAAGCCTATTAGCAGGGCTGTTAACTTGCGGTGAAAGCAGCGCATCCCGAAATGTCAGGCAGCGGGGCTGCTGCCGAGAGGTAATTGGGACCAATTAGCCGGTCTCCCTGCTGGGCAGATCGCTATTACCTTTCTCCTCTTTGCCCTTCCCCCTGCTGCCGCTGCAGGGCAACGAGTTGCGGCGGTGATGATTCCCTGAGAGCGTGGCTGTGGCTGTGTGTGTGTCAGTGTGTGTCCGTCCGTGCGGGTGGCGGCGGGCCGGGCGCTGTCCGAGGTGCTGAGCCGCCGTGCGGGGCCGGGCGCTGTCCGAGGTGCTGAGCCGCCGTGCGGGGCCGGGCGCTGTCCGAGGTGCTGAGCCGCCGTGCGGGGCCGGGCGCTGTCCGAGGTGCTGAGCCGCCGTGCGGGGCCGGGCGCTGTCCGAGGTGCTGAGCCGCCGTGCGGGGCCGGGAGCTGTCCGAGGGGCCGAGCTGCGCCGCGCCCGGGCGGCACCATGGTGTTCGCTCCAGGTAAGGGCAGCTGCTTCCCGCGCCCAGCCGGGAGAGTCCAGGGGAAAGGCCCCGAGTGTGCGGGAGAGCTGCTCGGGGGGGGGGGGGGGGGTAACGGCTGCACCAGGGCTGCCACCGAGCACAGACAGGCGGTTCCGAAGAAGGTGGCTTAGCTTCGGATGTGTTTAGCTGTGGCGCCGGAGGTTATGAGGGTCACCCCTGTGGTTCCCATTAGGACAGGAGCCTGCTATACAAGTGTGCAGGGGACTGTGCTCATCAGACTGCACAAAAGGGTCAGGAAGGGGGACGTGGCCTTGCAGTGACAGGATAGTGAGTTCCCCCTGGCACCCAAAGCGGTGGCTGCCAATGAGACAATCTCTGAAACTCACGGAGATATTTTACAAATTCCCACTGTGCCCCTTCCCCCCAGATATTTGAATGGAAGAGAACAGAAAGTTTGTTCAGTCCAGTTTTAAATGGAACAAAATTGAAGACTTCAGCAGGAGCTCACTTCTAATGCAAGACCTCACTCTATGAGAGTGCAGAATCTCTGCCGTGTAGTGTATATGTGTGACACCATAGAAGAATGGAAGCTACAGAGAATCTGCGTTGGACTTGGTACATTCTGATTGGAAATAGGCTGTTTGTTGTTTAGAAAGGGATGAGAGGCCCAGTAGCTCCAGGTTATAAATGTAAGTCATGCATAATATCTTCTGTAGTGAAACGACTTGAAATTAACTTCTTTAAAGGTATATAATTGTCAGTAAAAATAGTGGGTCAATAGAAAAGGGAAAGTAAAGGCTGCAACTTGACAATGAGTAACTATTAATACCTTTGTTTTGCAAAGCTAACAGAAGTTTTTCTTCCTTTGAAATTCTATATCTAGTCTGTGAAGGGATATGAATCCAAAAGCTTTATACCTTCATTAAAAAAATGATCTTGGGGTTGACTTTGCTAACTCAACAAAGTCTAATTTTTTGGGAAATTAATATTCTTTTTCAACAATCAGAATTTTGTCTCTTTAACTGCCCAGTTGCTGTCTAATTTGATACTTTCCTGTACATCATGTTCTGAAATTGGGACCAAGTTCTTTATCTTAGTAGAACTAGCCACTATTTTTTGTAGTACACCTTTCAGTATTAGTGGCTCTTTTCTGAACTCCTTTTATCTGACAGACTGTCACCATTAACTGTACTCATTTTTGAAATGCACCATGGGACTGGAATACTGCAGGAAGAGATTACCTCTAAAATAATGAAAACATGCTTATTTTCCCCAAAGGCTGACAATGAACAACCCCCAAATCTCATTAATAACTGCATGAATTGTTCTTTTCACAACTCTAATCCATAAAGAAAACAAAAATCTGTCTAAATCTGTCTTGTATAGTCATTCTTCTTCAGTCTGCTTTTACTCAAAGAAAAGCCCATGGTTTCCTTGCAAATGTTGCCATAATATACATAGAGTAACTAAGTAGGAATTTGTAAAAGAGATGATAAAGCAATCAGAGGGGCTTGACAATCTTTTGTATTCAGACAGAGCAAGCCTGAGTAGATTGCATTTTTTTAATCACTTTTCTTCACTGTAAATCAGCCCTGCCCTGACATTATCTCTTCTCCAGATATTAAAAAAAAAAAAAAAACCACAGGGTTTTATACATCTTTAGCATCTTCGTAGTACTTAAGGCCATCTGATATAGGAATACTGTAAGTTTACTAAGAAATTGAGATTCATTTCTTGAGTCAACTTTCTGATTTTATCTCACTGTGATGAATGACCTTATTTTCTGTTTCATTTATTTGTTGAGGGGCAAAGGGGAAGGAAGAAAAAGATTTGCCTAACTATAAATGGTTAGGGTCAGAATGATAAACATCCTTCCAGGACAGGGCTGGAAAAAAAGAAAAGAAAACAAGAACAACCAAAAGGAAACTCTCTTCCAGAAAAAATAATGGAACTTGTTTATCTGAAGACAAAGATAAGATTTTGCATATGAATAAGATGATGCTCTCTTCCTTAAGGTAGTGGATACGTTATTGCAGAGCACTGAATTAACATGCTATGTTTATAAACTGTTAAGTAAAAGAAGCTTACCAAGTTTAAATATACTTTTTAAAAGGTGAAGCCCACTGACTATTGACTGAATAGTGACTTTCTTGTTAGGCTGCAGCTCTTTTCCCTAAATCTTACAGCTACTACATAAAAAAACCCAACCCCCCCACAAAACAAACAAACACACCAACAATACCCCCCAAAACAAGGCCTGGATATTACTGACCTAGATAGATCAAAATTATTACCAAAAGGCCAGTATTTCGTGTTCGTATTTCGTGGACTTTCTGGCTCATTCTAGACAGTCTACTGCCATTTACAGGTATGCAAAAAGGTACTATTCATACGTGATCTTTCTTTGTACCCAGTGTTATTTAACTTTGGGTCTGTTCCAGAAAAAGGAACTGAGGAAAGTACATTTTTCCTTACTTGGTTTAATTTGCCCGGGGCTTCATTGCACATTGTTGTGCTGGTTGACTAATGATAGATTGGTATATAGGAAGTGCAATCCAAACTCGATGAGATGTCTCGGAGTTCATTTTACCTGGAGAATTCCCAAATGACGTGCTGCCCTTAAAATGGGGAACGATCCATGTAATGGAAATATGGACAAGCTACACATTGCAAAGTTTAGCTTCTTTACTTTTCCTGAATTGAACTGCTTTAGGCAGCCTGAGAAATAGACCAAAAAGTGTTACTGATCATCGGATGTAAGGATGAAGGTGTGCATGGGACTGCAGTAGAGAAGCATGAAATTTCAAGGTTTTGGATTAGGTCAAAAAACAAAGAGAAGTCATCATTGTTGAACGGGCAGATTTTCTTAGGAGACTTCAGAAGATAATGTATCCCAGAATTTAAAAAAAAAAAATCACTGCCAAATTAGCTTATAAAAGATTGATAACTATAAGTAATTCCACAGATTAAATATCTGTCTTCGTAAGGTAAGGAATGAAGAGTTATTAAAACATTTATTTGTTCTAAAGCATCAGCAAAAACTATAGAATGCAGCAAGCTTTCTTCTGGTACCACATCATTAGTTTACAAAGGAGTGATCACTTCGAATATCAGAATTTCTCAGCTTTAACAATATTTTTAAATGTTGCTAATCAATATCATACTACTTCTTTGCAAATTGCTTTCAGTTATTTTTCCCAAAAATGACCTTGGGCATATTTCATGCTTATTTCCAGCCCTAAAACTTCTTCCAGTGGAAAAGTAAAATAAAATTTAAAGTAATACTGTTTACTTCTGATGCTATTTTGCATGAGTCACTCAAACACTTATGTCTTGGACCTTTGCCCTTATGTGTATGTACTGATACAGCACAAAGATGGCCTGCATTTTTAAAACTACCTTGGGAATAAAGTTAGAAACCTCTTAAGGATATCTGAGCTATCTAATGGTTTTTTTTAAGCAACTCTCTCTAGAGTGATTATTTTAGTATATTTTGAGAATTTTACTCTATAATGTAAGTCTGTAAAAAAATTACCAAATTGTAGAGTCCCATCATTGTTTCACCCAGTCAGTACTGTACAAAGCTATGTTTCATTGAATAGGAATTTGTATTTTTGGCTAAATAATGTCTTTTAGAAAGGAATCAGTTTTGATCTGACTATGTCAAGAAAGATTGCAACATTTACGCTGGCAGCTTGTTTCAGTGTCTGAACACTCCCATCCTTTAAGCTTGTATCTACTTTGAATTGTGTGATTTCATCTTTCAGATGAATCTTGTTATTTTTCAGTGTAATTTGAAGAATCCCTTCTTACCTGACATTTTCTCCATAACTAGGAATTCACAGGCTTTACTCATGACCCTGCAATCCCAAAAGAAGGAGGAGGAGGTAGAACTCATTTTTGTATCAATATTTTTATGTAAAAAAAGATGTGTGAACACACTTCAAGTTTAAAGATAGACATTAGAGAAGTCAGAATATTCAGTGCTCAGCACCTTTTTCTTACAACAGCAACGCCAATAGCTTTCAACTAGCTTTTCAGCAGCACAGCTGTTCTCAACATTTTTAAGCTAGGAGCAGTATAGCAGACTTGCATAATGACACTGAAGATCAGAAGCGCATCCTGTACCAAACATTTTAGGAATCTCATTAAACTGCAATTGAAGATATAGCAGCTGCACACTGAAACAGATGTGCTTACTTGTCTGAATAGTCCTGATCTTCTCTAGTGGAAAAGCTGGGAAAACAACAACCTGCTGTGCTGTGGGATGGGAAGACATGAAATTTCTTGATAGCCTTTTTCTTTTTTTGAATATAGAGCTACAGGTACTGTGGAGAACCCTGTCCACAATGCACAGATCAAGACACTATGGAGGGACCTGTTAATGAATGCAAAAATTGCTACCAATAACTTTACTTCTTTGAAGGTAACCTGTTGTGGGATATCTCCAGTGTTTGTGTGGAGTGTGGTACTCTGGCACTCTCAGTTATGAAGTGCCTTTCACCCATGAGAACAATTGTATTAAGGCAGGACACAGTCCTTGGCCCCGTTAATTGCTGTGCTACGTTCTGCTAATGCTCTAAGTTCTGCAGTACCAACCTCCCCGCTGATATAAGATGCAAGAGTATATACATGTAGGATTCTTGCTCATTAGCTTAGTGTTGACAAAGTCCACGTGATGGACATAATTTGGCAGCTACAGACAAGACTATTTTGCAGACCTCATGCAGTCTGATATAATGGTTTTCTTGTCCAGAATTTGTGATGACTGGTAGTGAGTATGGAGGCCACTTGTCCCCCTAAAGTATCTGAATGCATTTGCAGCTAAGAGCTCTCAACAACACTTCAAAGTGTATGCCACCTGGTAGGAAGAAATCATATAGGAGGAAATTTCTTGTTCTTTATTGCTGAGGAAAAATTGTTTCTTGTGCTGACCTCTCCCAATGACACATTGATCTTTTCCCTGCTGTGAAACTCCACTAGCAGATCTCATTAGTGAGGTGAAAGAAAGTTAGTTC